AATTAGATGCAGTGAATTGGTGACAAGCGCCTCTCAATGATAGTTCCCATGCCTTGTACTCTCTAAACTCAAGATGAGGTTCGAGCAAGCTTGGTCTCATTATTTATCTTCTAGGGACTTGGGCTTTAAAAGGGATCATAAAGGAAATGTTGCAGTGGCTTTCATCAGAAGTATCTTTCATGCCATGGACAGGGAAACTGGGAGAGTTTGGAGCATACTTCCAGCACCTTCTCTTCTCTTGGTCCTCTTTGGCCAATCATATCATTTGGCAAATCCAAAGCCATCCACAGAATATTGCAAAATTTATTTCGAAATGAAGGTCCCGAAGGAGACTTTTGATGGCTGCAGTTTTTTGGGCAATTTGGGTGGAGAGGAACCCATACACTCCTGAGGCAACCTTTTCAACACCGCAAGAATTTTGAGAAAATGGTTTTCTGGGTCTCCCTATGGTGGTGTGCTCTTTTTCAGGCTTTTTGTGATTATTCCTCTTTTAATAAGCAAGTACACTAGAGGAGTTTTTTGTAACTCCATTTATTTACGAAGTTAGTTCCCTCTTCCTCTTTTTTATTATTCTTGAATTAATAGTACTAGTTTCCTTTTAAAAGATAAAAAGAAGAAAAAGAAACCTTTGTTTATGATAAACATAAGGTGTGCATGCACCAATTGGAGAAGGAAGTAGTAGTTTAATCTCCTAAAAAGCAAATTAAAATATCAAATGAAAATAAAACGATAGTTATAAACTAAAGAAGAGTATTTTCCTTACCGCACGATCTGTCTCAACATCATACTTCAGCACACGGAAACATTCCAACCTCTCCTCCAAAAATAAGGCATATGAACGAACCCAAGCAGAATAATCCCATGCTACATGCAGCACACGAAATGTTTTAGATTGAGATTTTCAATCTTTTTATATTTTCTTTTTTAAATCTAATGCCTTAGAGGAGGTACCATTAGCACTGGAATCGTCCTTAAAATGAGATAAATTAAGCATGTGGTTTCTTCTCCTGCCATAGTTAATGAGTTCTTCGTGAAATGTGGGGTCTACTTCCCGCAAAGCACGATGGATAACTACCAAAGTCTTTAATGCAACCTACAGAATGAAATAATAATAAGTTAAAAAAGTTTAACAAGCACTACAAATCTTAATTGGAGATGAAATCTAAACGCAAGCCATCTAAATTTGAAATAAATAATCAGGTACTTTCCAATGGATAAACTGTGTCTGCAAATATTACTTGAAAGAGGAACACTTTTTTGGTACGAACGCCACCATCAATTTTACGTCCACAACAGATAGAGATGCTTTTATATAACTTACTTTCCCTAAGGCTTTGCAAAGAGTTCACAGAATTGACATAATAGACCACAATGTCAAATGTAACATTTACCAGCACTGTTAACATGCACAATAATACAGAGGATGTAAGCTCAAAAGGCTATAGAAAGACTGAATGTTCTACTTAGAACTTTGAAACGGGAAGGTATATCTTGTTTATGATGGCAGTTGATTTGAAAAGAATACAGATTTGTAAATCGTATGATGGCAAGACATGTAGACTTACTGCCCAATTATGCGTCTTTGATAATCTTCTTGCCAAAGCATGGATGCAATATGCAACGTCAGCCCTAGGCCTGGTAGCTGAGATAGCCGCGAATATAGCTGCAGATAAGTCCAAAACCATCTTATTTTAATATTACGAGTTATATAATCGTACAACATCAGGTAGAAGAAACACATTATCAAATAAAAATGTGAAGTTCAGATGAAGAACATGTGAAGAGACACATTAAATTGGACAAGATTAATACTATCTTCCGAAGGGCATCAGAGAACACACCTCGGATATGTTTTTCTTTTGCAGGACGTTCAACATGATTTGTTGCCTTCACTATAGCAATGTCTAATTCCTGAATTCAACATCGCCCCAAGAATGTGAGATAGATCCAGGCTATTGAGATGCAGTGAGAGTAGGACTTATAGTACCTTATAATCACTGTTAACTTTAGCTAATGAAACTGTGGTGGTATCCTTCAGGGCCCCCAGTGCTTTTCTTAAGCTATTCTGTGTACCCCCACCTGACATCCTCTCTCCCTCGCTGTTAAGAAACCTACAGGAAAGTCAGCAATTTGATATGGTTCGGCTTGCACAAACATAAACTATACACAAAAATTAACTACGATACATTGCATAATGCATAAATCTTCATAATTAATTAATATCAAGATTTGTCAATTGATCTGCAAATTCAAAGGAAAAATTGAAGCAAATAGAAATCCGTCAAGGTAGTCGAGAATCATAATAAATATCATATCCATCAGCAATATGCTCGCCGACACCCAAAATTTTAGAATTCCGGCAACAAAATTTCAAAAAACCGAGTTTAAAAAATAGAAACTCAAATTTCAAAACAACTATTTCCAGAAATACGCCATGAATTCATCAATAAATATAAATTTACTGTCATTAAAAACACAAATTGAAACGCCAGTAAGCTCAAAAGGGAAAGGTCGGAATCGAACTGAACGACCTAGATTGCACTAAACTTAAACCAAGAGGTGCCGTTATCAGTATACACAAGGAAAAATAGACAAAATCTAGACTGAATAGAAAGATCTAAATCAAGTAGAGCGCGATTCAACGCAACACAAAACCTCATCCACAGTTCAAGCAGAGATGAGAAACAGAAAATCAGGAACAAATAAAAGATCACAGAAGCCGATATACCTGAAACTGAATCGAGAAAGAGAGAAGACAGGTCGATCGGAGGGTAGTCTGCAGCCAAAGAAAAGTCGCAAATGTGAAGCTCTATATGGTAGTCGACTCGTCGGCGTCTTCCAGACCTTTAACCATTATTTTTTAAATACTATTTTTCATTTTCTCCTTTTTATTTTATTTAATGTAATTTAATTTTCTCTAAATCTGTCTCTTATAATCTTCGCTGTCAGACATACGGAGTTGTAAGAATTAGTACTGCGCTGAAGTTAAAATGGGAACCATTCTTCTATTACGCGTTTTCTCTGGTTCCTGTCTTAGATGTATTGAGATCTTGCCACGTGTTGTGAAAGATGCTGATCTGTCGTCCACGACTTTAGAATAAAAGTCCAATTAAATATTTCATATGACTAGTTGAATTTTTGGTGTTTATGTACTTATTTTCAAATTTTATAAACTAATTGTAATTACTATTTTTAAGATTTATTTTTTAAATAAATTTACACTTGAAAATGCAAATAAAAAAAATAGAATGACAATGTAAAACAAATAAATTTAATTAAAAAAAACATATAAATTTGAATTAGTTGAACATGTTAATAACAAATCAAATATCTTTGACTATATATATTTTAAAGTAATAATATATTTATTGTGAAATCCAATTGTCATTTAATTTATTAGATCAATTGAATAATTGGCGATGAATATAATTAATTGACCTAAATAACATTTCGATAATATTAAGTATCATGAGTTTTTTTAAGCACAATTCAATTACACACTAAAAATAATAATATTTTATTATTTAAAAAATAAATCGTAATTGAACACCAACAAGCAAAAAGTGAGTGCAACCCATAATAAGGATTTATCATAATGTTTTGTTTAAATTACATTTAACTAATATATGCAAACGAGAAAATACTATGTTTTTTTTTTTTTTTTTTAATAAAGACAATTGAAAAATGGAGAATTTGAATTTATTTGAATTTTTAGATAATAAAGTTTTCAATTCGATGTATCAGGTTCGATATTATCAATTTTAAAACAGTTTTTATAAGAAATAAAGAGCATTGGGTCAGCATATTCACTGGCACATCGTTTGGTGATTGGCTTTGATACAATTTGTAATTGATCGTTACAATTTTCTGAAAGATAACTATCTCAGTTTCATCTATAAATTGATATAGAATCCTCATTAACATGGGTTGCTCGGGACTCAAATTGATATAGAATCCGGCGAACACTCAGCCCAGCAGGCAAACATGGCGGGCTCCGGCTTCGTTCTTTCCTTGTGCCTATTTTGCCGTAGGAGGTTGGTTTACAAGTACAACCATTGTAACTTCTTGGTATACCCATGGAAAGGAGTGAGTGGAGATTCCCTTGCAAATAGCTAGATGAGGGAAAACCTTCACATCCGGTTCGGAGAGCGAGGATATCTCAACCCTACTTTTTCTCACCGCTACTAAACATTATCCGTTTTTGTCTGTTACGTATAGTCATTATAGTCTCGCAATTTTAAAATGCATTTGTCAGGCAGAAATTTTCATACACTTATAAATAATATTTGGTACTCTCTCCAACCAACTTTAAAGAACAATGTATTATATAACCTAAGTTTTCTATAATTATTTATTTATTTATTGGACGAGACTGTAATTTATTAATATATTTCTGGTGATACAATTATTGTCTTGTTTTTCTTTTCTGGTCATCATCCAGATGCTTTGGACCAACAGGCAAGAAAGAGTTGGATTTTATTTTTCCAAAAAAAAAAATAATAAAATAACAATAATCATGTTTATTATTAAAAGTGGTTTTAAATTATGTATAAAACAATGTATTATGCTGGCCGCCAGTATGCGTTGTGTTTTTATTTAATTTTTTTAAAGACGCAACGCTTTGGCGTAGGAATAAGATGGTCCTTTGAGACAGCTCACCCACCTCATAAAATCCAAAATGTCGGTTCCAATATTATGGAATTTCTTAAAGTTGGCGGTGCCCAATAATCTAATTAAAAAAGTTTAGGATAATAGTTTATTACATTTTAATTAATATTATGGTATTAAATTTGCTAATGTAAATGGCATTCAACAAAGTAATTGTATCTTTTCAATTACTGACGTGGCAAATAAAATATTTAAGTAAAATTTATTATTTAAACAATTTTGCAAAAATAAAATTAATATTTCTTCTTTGTCTCTCTCGTCGGTCTAATATCAAAACAAAAATATTTAAATTTTTAATATTCAAACAAATTAATTTTTTTTGTAAGAGAATGTTCAATGCGAAGGCCTAATATTGAGTCGTCTAAGCCAAACTGAGTGAAGCACCATATGAAACACATCAAACGGCTTCGCCGGCCGATGGACCTCAAAATGTCTCTGCACTTTCATCACACCTTGATGCAATTTCAAGTACTTAGCCGGCGAAACGCCTTTCAAGATCTTCTTGATCTCCGGAATTCTCTTCGACGGAATCCGCAGAGAGAATTTGCTCCAATCGAGCACATCGTCGAACGGCAAAGAGTAATAATCAGAGATTATAACCGGTACGCAACCACCTTGGATCGCTTCCACTAACCTAGGGCTTGCAACTTCATATCCGCTAGGGCACAGGCAGAATCTGCTTCGGCTGATAAATTCGCCGTAGTTCTGGCCTTTATGAAGGTACTCGTGGACCTGGATTTCGTCGTCTTTATCCTTCCAATGCTCGAATAGCATCTTGCGGATGAATCCATGCGCTCCGCCGGCGAAAAACGCCAGAATCGAGCGATTCTCTGGCGGTTGGCCCGATCGAGAAAGATCGAGATGGAAATTTGCAGGCAAGTTAATCTCCGGCAACGACGCATCTCGCACAGGATTGAAGCCTTCGGATGTGTTCGCATTGCAGAGAACTCTGATGAGATATTTGAAGAGGTCAGGATCCGTTTGTGTGATGTCAGGCGCCTGAAAGCTTTCCAGAATGTTAATTTTGTTAACTTCAGAGTTCTTCTTCCACAGATTATGAACAAATTAAATTACAAAATCCGTGAAAATCCTCGAAAACTTACCCAATCGTGGCAGGAGGCCATGAAATGATCGGCGCCTCGAGTTCGGTTCCAGTAAGGGTACCTATCGGCTACGACCCTCACATAATCCTTGAAAATGCGAATGAGGCGGTCACGTGCGTAAGTGGTAATGGGCGTGTAGATGTACTCGATGATGTAAGCGATGCTTACGGGCAAGAAGAAAACATGGGCCTCATCTGGATTTTGGGCCGAAAATGGGCTTTTTCCGCTGTCCATCTCGTCGATGAAATGACCCTCGATTGAGTATATGTTTTTCATCGGCCCATCGTGGACCAATGGCTGCTCTCCTTCTTTGTAGGTCCATACTTTGAACCTCTTCACCATCTCAATATGACTCCTGAGCTCATGCACAGAGAAAAACGGAAATTATTAGTAACATGACACTTCTTTTTTTCTTTTCAGGTATGTTTAACTCCAATCCAATCCAAACCGTTAGACGAACACAACTCTCCATAATGATATGATATTGTTCACTTTGAGCATAAGCTCTCGTGACTTTGCTTTGGACTTTCCCAAAATGCCTCCTAGCAATGGAGAGAGTATTCCTCCATTATAAACTCATGATCATTCCCTAAATAAGCAGATGTGGACTTTCATCATCCAACACAGACTACGTAACCCAAATTATAAAAGTAAAGTTGGGCGGTTGAAAGTTTGGAAAACTAACAAATTCAGGTCTGTTCTCAAGTTGGTTTGAGTCCAAAAATAATGATTCAAAACACTCCTTTTTACACTGTTTCAGAAACTCGAGGACTCAACTGTATGGATATGTAAAATACAAGATTTCCCATTCTAGCAAAAAAGGGAGGGAAACAAATACTCAATTTAAAGTGAGTAAACAGAATTTCATACTCGATCTCATAGATACATATAGAATTTTGTGGAAAGTCGTATTAGATGAAAGTCGTAATGACGGCTTGAAGGGAGATCTTTCATATCTTTCGAGATTCACCCTACAATATGGAGTCAAAAAGCCAAATATTTTTTTTGATTAACATTTGTACCCTAATTATTATGAACTCCAGAATAGAGTTATAATTCAATCCTACCCTAATTATTACAAAGATAATTTAATCTATGTTAAAATAAGTATAATTTTTTAATAATAATAATAATAATAATAACAATTCTATAGTCGAACTCAATTAAATAAAAATATAAAATGTAAATTTAGGGAGTTATGAATATATATATATATATATATTTAAACCATTGGAGTGGCGTGGAGTAATTTAAAAATTAAATAAATTAAATAATGACGAATGGGCAACTGTTTGGCCAAAAACAACAAAAGGAACAATGTGAATCGTGACAATGTTGGATTATTTAGGGCAGCCTAGATTTAGTACGAGGCAAGGCGGCTCCGCGCTGCCCCTGCCCATTGCTTCCTAATCATTCTACCCTAAAAGAAATACACTAATCATGATTTAATTTCATCCTTTTTTTTTACTTAAAATTATATTATTACCCTTGCTAAAAAATAACAATTAATTTAAAAATAATGAATTTTTTATAAAATTTTAAATTATTAATTTAACATAGAGACTTAACTAAAAAAAAATCCAATTTTTTAATGCAATCATATTAACTAGCAAAAAAGTTGAATTTTTTTTTTTAAATGTCATTTATTTATCAAATTAACGTGCAAATCGAATATTAGAGAATGTGAAACGTTTAAGGCAAAATTAAGAATGCGATACGTTATTTCTTTTTTTTTTTTTCCCAAAAATGTCATAATTATTAATAATTTTCCATATTTGAAAAAGAAATTATTTTACGGGGAAAACAAACAAAGCATAGAAACTTTATAGAGGCAAAGATGGAAAGGGAATTAAAAGCGACAGAGGAATCTTAACTGATGGAAAGCGTATGCGTTTCTGTAAACCCTTCCTCTGGGTATGAAGCTTTCCACCTTTTCCGACGTGTAGTTTCGCCGTACAATGGCTTCTCGGATCGCCGCTCGAGCTCTCGCCAAATCCTCCTCGATCCTCTTCAATACCAAACAAATCAAACCCATCAGCAACATGAAGTAAATAATTAGTAAAAGAAAGAATACAAAACAACCTTGTTGGCGGAGGGGGGCGGCTGTGGCAGAGGCTGTGGTTCGACGGCGGCGGGAGGAAATTGAGAGGGGAGTTGCGGCGGTGGCGGTGGGGGTTGTTTGGATGGGTGGAAAAAAGGGATGTTTTGAGTTGTAATTAGAGGAAAAGGGTTGTGATAATTTGGCGGGAAAAGGAAGAGGAGGAGGAGTAATGGTGGGAGAAGGAAGAGTGGGAGTCTGTGTGAGGAAGCCATGAAAGGAGGAAGAAGAAGAAGAAGAGAGAAGGTTATTTAATGGAGAAATTGCATGGTGTTCTTTAAGTTTAATATGGAAGGAAGAAGGAAAAAGGAGGATTTTATGTGGGTTTTGACCAATACTCTTTTAATTTTTATTTGGTAATATATATGAGAAAGCATTTAAGGAGAGAGAAAGGGTAAATAATGAGTATTTATTGACTTTATTTTACCCTATAATTTGTATAAATAAGTGTAATTGGATTAAAGACGATGGAGGTCATGAGACAGCCTATCTGAACCGAACATGGATAAGTCTCAACTTTGAGCATAAGCTCTCGTGGCTTTACTTTGGGCTTCCTTAAGAGATCTCAATCCAATGGAGAGAGAAAATTTTCTTTGATTATAAACCTATAATTATTCCTTAAATTAACGGATGTGATGTGAGACTTCATCATCCAACATGTCCTACTCCTTCCACAATACTTCTCTATCTTTAAGAGTGAAAACTATCCACACAGACCTACATGAATTCTTTCATCATATTTTGTCCTTACGTGAATCCTAGAAAAATTCACTCAACAAGCAAAACATGTTTAACACGAAGTGTCTATAATTGAGCAGATCAAAGTAATTATTTTCGATTATTTTATATAAATTTTAGTCATCATATTTTTTGAAGTCGTATAAAGACTTTATTATACTTTTTATGGAATTAAACAGAAGTTTTAGGGAATTTCTTAAGGTGGAAGGTTTAATCGCTTAACGCCAAGAAAAAGAAAGGCCGATTCCCTGACATTCTGTTTGTTGGAGTAACTACAAGAGTTAAATAGATATAATAATTGTTTTTTCCAAATGGAATTAGATGTAATGCTCAAACATTACTAAATGTATGATCATTATTTTGACTACAATAAATAAATAAATAAATAAATAAATAGGATAGAGATATTTAAACTTACCGTCTTAAATAAAAAGAATATATGTCAATTATAGAAAATAAATATTCATTTTAACTCGTTTGTTATATTCTCCATTTTCTTTTCCATCCCGCTCAATTAATGATGAATTGATTTATTATTATTATTATTAATTATAGAAAATAAGTTGGTGATATAATATTAAAATTTAAATTTTTAAAAATTATATCGGTTAAATATTATAATTATATTTTCTTTAAATAGATAAAATGTTAAAAATATCTCCAGAACACTAATCCACATGAAAGTTTTATTTTTTTAGATCATGCCAAGGCTCTTTAAAAAAAATTATTATGTTTATTATTTGGGGTTAGTTTTTGTATATTAAAGGTGAACTAGAATAATAGATAAGATATTAAATATTATTTCAACGATGAACGGTAAAATTGGTGAAACAAAAAGTGATATTAAAATTGTGAACCACATTGGTTCGAGTACTGGAAGAATTAAATTTGAGTAAGGAATCACATATCGGAAAGGGTTATGGGAGGAGTACGTAGAGGAAGAAATGGAGTATGCGATTTGCAGTAGAAGAGGGAAGCCAAGCACATGGGGAATTTTGCGTTATTTATTTGAATTTGTTTTGTTTTTGGAAATGAGATGGCTCATCGTTTTCTGCAGACAACAATGAAAGCCATGAATTCTCCCATTTCTTCGGGTACATTTCTAGGGTTTAGAGTTTAGGGTTTAAGTACCAATGGACATGGACAATATTAAATACAAGTTGAGAATAGATGGAGCGCTGAAACTTGAAGATTTTGGTCAATTTTTTAAGAAATGAAAGCGGATCTAATTCTAGGGTTCCTCGAAAAGGTTCATCCATGGAGGGTGAGTCAAGGCCTAAGATTAGGTCGAAAGGGGTAGTCAATGGACAATAGGTGAATATTCTTGTACTATCTATTATTGGTCATGAGGGACGGAGGAGACTAGGTTAGCCGAAAGATGGTTATCGATTCAAGGACGCAAGGTGTCCCTATTTTTTCAGGGTAAGAAGAAGTAGAGAAAATACCTCGAGTCAATCTTCGAGTACCACACGCTACGGCGCTGAAGTAACCCATGTCATACTCTCAGGAAAAGCTCGAACGACTTTCAAGAAAAGAGTACTAGTACCCGAAATCGACACAGATGTGTAGGTAGAGGATACCTAGTAGCACGAGACAACTCTCTCTAAGGAACTCGGCAAAATAGCCCCTGTAACTTCAAGAGAAGGAGTGCCTTCTCACAAAGGGGGTTGCAGTAACTAGGCTCGAGTGACTGTTTACAAAAACACAAGTCTCCGCAAAGTCATAAGACCATGTATGGAGGTTGACACCTACCAGTGTCAGAAGGTCAAGGAAGTTGGTGATCGGGTCAACCAGAAGCTTGTACTCATTCCAATCCAAATAAAATAATTTTTTTTTATACAATAAGCACTTATAAATTTAAAGGAAAACAGAAATAGACGGAACCCTCTTGCTGAGAAAATCAAAGAAGTTGCTGATGAATAAATAAATTAAGAAGAAAAAAAATACAAATTTTTAAATTAAGCGTTTAATTTCCAAATTAAATAGGCTAAACAATTGGGTTTGCAGTTTGATTTGTGTTTTTCCTTTCACAACGTCAAATTTTCGCACCCAAAATTCTGACGCCACTCCAACAAAACAATGGTGGCACCGTAATGGGCCAAAGCTCCAAAAACCACCAAAACATGAAATAGCTGGTGGCTATGTCCGGCCAGATCGAACCGGCCTGGAAGCCACCGCTCCGGAATCCGGCTCACGTAAAACCCGGTTCCAGTGAGATAAAACAGAGCCATCGCCGCTTCATAAGCCAGAGTGATATTACGGCGAGGATTACCCCAATTCACGACGGCGGAGTGAATCGCGGGAACAATACCGAAGAGACCCATGGAGACGAAGAGAAGAGCTCTATAGGACCGGAATTTGCTAGTGGAAAGCGCCGGGGATAGCAGAGTAAGGATGGTGAAGATGCCCATGATGGTGATTCCGGCGAGATAGACGAATTGCCAGAGGGGATCGCATTGAAAGATGTAGTAAATTGGGGGGAAAAAGGAGGTGATGATCATGACGGCGATTCCGATGTAGTCGATTCTGAGTAAGAGCAGATTTAGAGGGTGAGAGTGGCAAGAAAAGAGATGGCAAATGCTGCTCGAGAGAAGGCAGAACATTGAGCCGCCTAAGAACACGAAGAATGGCCACCGTTCTGTGCTCGATCCGTTGGTTACCAAACTGATGTTGCCGCCGCCTTCGTGGTGGACGCTTCCCATCAATTCCATCAGTTCTGTTGCTGTGGTCTGCATGACACACAGTTATTATTGTTTTATTAAAAAATTAGATGAAACTTAAAAAACTTACACATATTTTGCTAACTAATTTGTTTTTATTTTATAAAAATTGCGTTTGTTTTCATTAACACCTCTCCTCGAACAAAGAACGTCCCTCCTTAATCGAGACTCGACTCATTTAGAGTCTTAGTTATTCCATAAATTAGCTAATGTGGGACTCACAAACCAATAATACTCAACACAAAATTTTAAAAAGAAAATAAATATATAATTAAGAAACGAGAATTATTATTTTAGTTTTCAAACTTTGGTATGAATTTTTTAAAATCTTAATAAAATTATATAATAGACGAAAAAACTCAAGATGGATAGGCAGTATTAGCTACTATTTTTTAAACAGGGTTAAAAATTTGAAAATTAATGATGAACTAACAAAATTCTATAAATTAATGCATGAAGAAAGGGTTATAAGGTGTTCTTACTCCAATGAAATCTCTAGAAACATAGGAAATGTTTGAACAGAAAGATGTGAGCATAGACCTGCATCAAAATGGGGAATTCATTGCATAAAATTAAATACATATATGCTTAATTTAATGAAACATGTCAACTTAATTATATATATGTTAATGGATTTTTTTTTTTTTTTTTTTTGCTAGAATTTACAAATTTAGTGTTGAGCAGATTAACATGCGTTTTACCGGGTAAAATATGTTCAAATCGACATATTTTTCTTAAAAATCAAATTTGAATTATCGAAGAAAGAAGTATTTGTGAATGATAAACTAATTGAAGTTTGCTGTTGCTTGTAATGAACTATAAAAGTCCTAATTCATCCTCTAACCAAGAACTGAAATGGATGCTTATGAGTTCATTCTTTTTCCTCCAAAGCCGAGATTAATTGTTTCGTGTTCTTAATCTTAACTACTACCGATTCGAAGAAACAACAAATCCAGCGATTAAACTAAATCAGAGAATCAATTTTCACTATCAGAAGCCAAAAATCAAAAGAGAGAAAGCAGTTCAGGCGAAAATTTCCCCAAATTAAAATCGCCATTTCTAACTACGAACGGAATTCGAAGAAGTTTCAAGCACAGAACGAACCTGGAAAAGAACCCGAACAAATCCGCCACTTGAGGCACTTCTTCCATCAGATTCGCCAAACACAATCCCAAGAACAAAACAAATCCAATCAAATGCCTGAAAATTTCAAAAAAAAAACACACACATCATCACAACGCACAAATCAAAATCCAGAACATCACCAAATCGAAGAACAACGCTAAGTCGAGGTCTCACGTCCAAACATTTAGGGTTTCATTGTGCCATTGGAAGACACTAAGAAGAGCTCGCTTGAGAGGCCATTCAGCTCTATAATAATGAAGAATAAACTCATTATCTTTCATATACTCAGGCAACTCCTTAAACGAAACCAACCGACAATCCTCTCTGATTTCATCGCAGCAGCTTTTCTTCTCTCCGTTTCCCTTCCGCCTCTGATTTGTCTCCTCCATCTTCGCTCTCTTCCGATCTTCTTCCGTACAGATCCTTCTTCGCACAACAAATTTGAAGAATCTCTTCCAAAATTTTCCAAATACTTATACAAGACAAGAATTTCGCTTTACTTAAAGCCTTACTTATATAGATAAATTTATTTTTCTTTAAGCATTATTAATTTATGGGGCAAAAAAAAAAAAAAAATCGTCCCATTATCTTGCTTTCTACATGCGTTATTTAATGCAGTTTGTGTGATACACAACTACACCAACAACTTTATTTAATCTCTCTCTCTCCCTCCATGCAGGTGCAGCTAACTTCAAGATCTTAAAATTTTCTCTCTCTTAATTTTTATTTTTATTTTTTTAAATTATTAATTATTAATTATTATTATTATTATTATTATTATTGGTATGAAAGAGGGGTTGGCTGGTGCAATATTTGGGCCACCTATCATAGCAATATTAAAATTTTGACCTTTGGTTTGGTCACTTACCTTTAAAATTATAAATAAATAAAAATTATACTTTTTGTTTATCAATTTTTCAAAAATAGTAATTATTGGAAGGAACTTATATATTTCAAATATATTTAAAAATTAGAGTAATGCAATTAATTAGAATGTAAGAAAGGGAACTAGCTGAGCTAATTATTTTGACTTAGATAAATATTAATTATTATAAATGTAGTTAGGCTGGGTAATGAATTAGGTTGAAAATTGTGATTAACTCGACTTATCTATTCATTTTAAGGTTGGTTCGAGTTGTTCGAGTTATTATTATTATTTTTTATAAAAGTAATTGTTTATATGACAAATATTTATTTGTTTCATTATTTTAAGATTATATTAAATATATTATGTAGTACGAGCGAGCCACGTGGGCCAATACAAATTGTTGAAAAACTTGGTTGCTGGTTTATTTATGAGCCAAGTGTGGTTCCAGTAACACTACCTAAGACTATAATACTTCTAACTTCTCGATCAATATATATATATATATATATATATATATATCTTAATCAATCAAACTATATTTAAAATCTATAAAATTATGATATATATATTTACACGAAAGCATATATAAATTTTAACTTATGACAAATTTTTTATAGTTCATTCCCTTTGAGTTTTGCGTAGGATTCTGTTCGAGTAAAGGAATGAAATTGGTAATTATTTTGTTGAAAGAAAATAGGAAATGAAAATGAAGGGAATTAAATGTGTAATGAAGGGTAGTTGGAGGGTGAAGGGTAAAGTATTTAGGTCATAAAAACTGGGCCATTTTTTATTTTCCAATTGGTCTTCGTTTGGTAGCGCCACGCCCAACTCCTAACTCTCAACCTTTTGAAAAATAAATCCAAGGTTGAGAGGATAGGTGGCCGACCACTACAGGACAATTAATTATCCACCTATTTTCGCTTTCTTTTATCCTCAAACACACTTCAAAACCTAACCTCAATCTTTTCAACGAAGAACCCTAAATTGGATAATTGACCAACTTCTTATTTCCCACAAGTTTTATCTTTTATCCTTCTAAGGAAAATTCAAGAAATCTGAAGAAATTGTTAAGGCCTCTCACAATTGTATGATATTATCTACTTTAAACATAAGTTTTCGTGACTTTGTCTTTTGTTTTTCCAAAAGATAACTCCTTTTTCATAATAATTTCACGATTTTCTTATTATTATTATTATTATTATTATTTTTTACGTTTATTAAGAAACAAACAAGTTTATAATCTTAAAAAACTTGTCTCAATTTTTGAAAAAATGAGGTATAAACATATTAGTTCCTTATCGAAGACATAATATATATATCATTTTGTTTTATAGATGGCAACGTTATTAAACGAGAATAGTACAAAAGAATTTACCCCAACGAAGAGAATTTCATTGATTTTTACAGTATCAAGTTTATAGTATTCTCTTAGGTCTTTGCCAGTTACCATGAAAACAGCAAGCTAGAAGATGCTGAAAGGACAAAACACACAAAAAGCTGCACAAAACTGAGATTTAGCTTCCTTTTTCATGCCCCACCAAAAGAAAGTGGCCAATGTGTTATTTCACCATTTTTATTTTCGTTGTTTCCTCCTAAAATGCCATGAAGACAATTACAGAAACGTACCAGGAAAAGTTCAGTTGCAATGCAAGCATTGTAAAATTTCTACCCCTTGAGAAGGCCAATTGTCTCCAAGGAAGCTCGAATATCAGCACTGCTAGCCTCCTCAGAAGCTTGTGCAACATTTGCAGAGTCAACTGGAACAACGTCCGAAAGAGGGTAGCTTCTGTTGGCGTGGAGCTGATTGACAGTGCCGCTACAAACGCCCTTCAGAACCACACTTTTGTGCAATCCACCAAGCAACCCTTCATAATCTGTGTCCCCAATTTCTCCAACAAACACAACCATTTTTGACAGCTCCGTGCCCCATCGAACATAAAGATACCTGCCACCATTGCATCGCAAGGGGAAAAAATTCTAGTAAATTTCATAGAATCAAATCCCTATGAAGAATTATTTAGGTTGTTGGACTCCACATCGTCAAATTAATTGGAGTAGTACCCATTTCTACCGTAATATAGGAAAGTTTCTCCATGGTGAGACCCTCAAAACTTAATGTAGAGAAAAAAGTCATGGCCGTTTGATAGTTTATTTAAGTTCCTAGACATTTAAATTGCTGTTTTCCAGTCAGCTTTCTCACTGGTTTTATGGTTCAAGATATAAAGGTTAAGATGTCAAGGGAAAATTCACAAACGCACTTCCCAGTCTCAAGGTCTTGCCAGCAGGAGATTGCCTTTTTAGATGGATAATATTTTCGTCCTAAAAGTTGAAGGAGAAAACTTCGAGGAAAAGGTCTAAAACTTATACATTTATGCCCTGCCCCATGCCAAAATTGGTGGACAATAGCTTACCGAGACAACTCAGCACACACTGTCATCTTCAGAATCAGTCAACGTTAGGTCTCTCTCATAAATCAAACTACCTCCTCAAAACCTGGTTGGTTAGAATTCGATAGTCTTCATTTATACTTAATAGTTAAATATCAAAATCATATTTCAAAGAAATAGACAACTTTAAAGCAGTCTGGTTGAGACTCGAGAGCTTGTTTAGTATTTAAGCGTTAACAAATAATTCTAAGAATTGTGTTTCTGTGGCATATAAAATGTTGGCAAATACTATACGGTTAACATACATAATTTATTAGATTTTTTTTTAAGAGAGAGAGAGACTAATTCTACTTTATTTCAAATAATTCGGTAACTAGTGAGATTTTGTATTTAAAAAAATAATAATAATAACTAGAAAAAATAACTTCTTGCTAACCAAATATACTTTCAATATGCTTTCTTTATCCTAGAAACAAATCATTTTTAAAAATAACTTCCAAACAGCTTATTGGTGCCTAAGAGTTGTAGTTTCTCAAGGATTTACTACATGCCATGATCTTCCAATATCCATGGTTATACTGAGAGAGAAATAGTAAGAAAATACACAAGAGCATGCACCAAAAGTAATAGTACCTGAGCGCTTGGGAACGGGATGCCAGTACTGGAATTACATTTAGCCTGGTGCCATTCTGACAATAAACAACATGACAGCGCAGAGCTTGAATTCTCAGCGATTTTCTGAGTTCCTTAACTGCTGGGATCTGCACAAAAGCAAAGGAAATTCTTGACTTATGAACTCCTGAGACATGCAATCAACAAACGATGCCCTCTACAATGAGATGCATAGTTTAGGAATACTAAAAATTCACCAACAAGATAACCTTTTTCCACAATAAAAAGACTGATCAACGTCATCACTAAAAGTTGAAAATTACCACTTCAGGCTTCCCAACATTGAAAGTGTAACAATAATTTGTTGAAAGTTGCTCCGCTGCAGTTACAAGTTTTTCCTCAGTATTAGCGCTCCTATCAGAAACTGAAGCAGCCCATTTAACTAGAGTTTTCCTTAATCCTTCTCCACCCCATCGATATTCAATGTGTGAATGGTAATAGAAGTCAACCACAAAGGGATCATCTTCCAAATTTGTGGATGAATAGTAAAGATCACTGCCACTGTTGCAAATGAAAGCATCAAAATCATTAGCACGGTAGCCCCCTGCGACCAGAAATGAATTCACTTCAGATATGGTCAACGATGTAGAGAGAATAAACCCTATAGTGCCTTCACTCCTTTCCTTCTCCACTGCCCCAAACAACTTTCTTGTGGTATCAACGAGACCTGTGATAGTATCACTATCCACTGCAATTACAAAGAGATGTTTCCTCCTCCTCAATGCCGGAAACTTGCCAGCATTTGCATTTTTATCAGCTTTTTCTGCAACTGATTTTCGTGTATCCCTTGAAACACCCTTTGACCAGTTCAATACAGCATTCTCTAATTTAGTTGTTCTATCTTCGAGAGATCTATCAGTTCCACCACTCTTCTCTCCATCTAATGAAAACTTTAGGTTTAGAGAAATGTCTTGTATATCTCTCCACGAATCACCAGGTGAGCCTGATTCTGAGTTATCATCTTCATCTTCATTTCTTTGCCAATGTGGATATCTCGGTTTGCAACTAGCAATTTTTGATAGATATGTCTTACAATGCTCTGGCCATGAAAATAGGTGAATATTCTTCAAACCACTCTGCCGGCATCTAGCCCAAAGGTGCTTGTCTGCAACAAGCTTCAGAAGAGCATCAGCGATAGACTGTTGATCATGCGGATCAACAAGAAGACCGTTGTCAAGCACCTGCACAAACATTTTATTAAGTTTAAAATTTGTCAAGCATATGAAAATATAAAAGCATGAGAATCAATAGTTGTAATCAAAATTTTATGGCTAAAAGCAGGCATACCCGATGTATATCAACAGGACCTCCATTTTTTGTAGCAACAATGGGTAAACCATGGGCTGCTGCCTATTAAACAAAAGTGTAGAATAGATAACTGGTTAATAAAATAAATACTTCTGTGAAATGAAAAGTAAGGAAATAATAGAAATCACCTCAATTAGAGTAAGTCCAAATGGCTCAATGAATGCTGGATTTATAAAAACGCCCTGCAAATCATAAATAAGGATAGCAACTTAAAGGATAGGTGTTCAATACAAAATCGGGACGCCACAAGAATGTCCCAGGCATGAAGAGAACAAAGAAAGCCAAGAACGAACAAGAG